ATACGCAGCAGCTTATAATTATATCGGTCGAAGCATTGAGTTTAGCGCAGCAAATATTAAAATTGTATTAACACACCCGTTTTTCACTGGGTTTTTAGTTTTTATTTCATGTTTTCGGTATTTAATCACTGCGTCGTAAAAAAATCGAAGGTGAGACATCCGATAAGGGCAACTTACACTTTGGCATTAGCTCAGTCGTTATTCAGATACCATCTTGATTTATAGCCGCTATATATCCCTTAGGATCTCCCAATTTGTATTTCTACTTTCTCTTTCTTTTTAATACCTTCACCTCGCCGAATTAATTTAAAATTCTCATTGGTCGTCGGTACATTCCCGATGTGAATCTTAATAAATCGATTCGCGTCCCATTTCACGGTGGAGTCTAGTAATAATTAATAAATCTATCGCTTGGCTATCTCGAGTATTTAGAGGCGTTCCGATGCGGAAAATTAATGAAGTCTTCCGCGGAGTTTCGCGGTTTAATGGCTGCCATTAATTTTATCTCAACAACAGGGCATCTTCGCGACGACGTGCCTTTCGGCCGACCGCGTCTCCACTCGGAATAAATGCATGGATTTAATTATAGATGTTAGAGTATTCTTTTTTGCATTAAGAACTTTTCACTGCCATGATGCTCCTTACAGACATAGAATATGAATATGCCTTACCAATAAAACTATTTTGCGAAACATAAATTTACACACTTTATTTTATTCTATCGGTCACCTAAAAAGGCTTTTAACGCTAAGCATGACCATCAATTTTGTATATTAATGGTTGAAAGCATTGTCAACTTTTTATAGTTTGGGTTGAAATCTTTTTATTAAACGGTTTTATTTAGCTCGACACGTACGGAATTTGTTTGTTTGGGTCAAAATTAGAAATTGAACTTTAAGCACTTTGCCGTTGTCAGATTGATCTGAAATTTGGTACACACATTTAATTTAGATGACAATACAATATTAACAAAAAAAAAAAAGACATAAAATAAAACCGTTTAACTTAAAAGTTTTTAAACGGTTTTATTAGCTATAAAAATGTAGATAAAGGACGTTGCGAATTTGTCGGTTTTACATTTTAACTCATAAAATATCACGCACAAACTTTTATAACAAAGAGATAGAAAATAAGTATTTCGAGTACTTGTGCTAAAATGAGACGCGCCACAGCTTTTGCTGTTATATCAATGAAGGAACTCGTTCTTTGCAATTGGTGAGGTAGTCGAGACTCACTTTTCTAAAGGTTGCTTTGCAACTATAACCCCACGGGTAGTAGTACCTTTTACAAACTGAATTCTGCTTCGTAGCAATGTTTATTAGGATAATTATGGGAATTTCATATATAACATTTTAAATGATAATCGAAGCGGAAATTATGTTATTAAAAAAATCAGCAAAATATAAGATCAATACAAAGTTTAGGTAGCTGGACACCGAGACACCTAACAAATATTGTTATTCTAGGTCACAAGAATATTTTCCGGTTGGGAATTAAATTCACGCCCCGTGACGCAGAAACTGCTTGGCAACTAGGCAAAAATGTAACACTTTGTACGTTCGCTGTGACTTACTTGAGCACCAAAAGCATTTTAAGGTGCCTTCCCGACTTAGTGCAGCTTAAAAAAGAAGTAGGCACCGGTAATGGTAGGGGTATTCAATAAAATACCGTCGTAAAATCAAGTGAAGCGTATTCGTCGCAAAAAGCGTCGAGTGGCAGCCCCGGCGAGTCCACAAAAGCTCGTAAAAGCTCTCAACTATTATGCAGTTATTACAAGGTGGAAATACCATTATTACGCGCGTTTGTTTTGTTGTTCGGTGCATACCACTGTCATGTACACCAGCTTGGGTATTGTAATATGTACCTGTGACCGTACCCTCAGTACGTGCGGGCTAGTACTCTATGTGCCATTTATCAGCGCACATGGATTCCGATCAGACGTTTTGATGTGCGACAATTATATTAATGAGTAATGCTCTATTTCCATCTAGGTCGACGGCACAACATGTGAATGAATGATATCGGTTTTATGGTCTACTTGTAGTTAACCCTCCCTGGGAACCAACATCCAGATTTGAAACAATTATCTGTGGGTCACACATATACTTGTCCTGTGGAAATTGAACTGACGAGCTCCGGCGCCGAAACAAATGGCTTAGCAACTAAGCCACTGATCGTCATTATGAAAAAAATATTTCACCGCGGGCTCTAGTCTACGTAAACCCTTTAGTGTTCGTTTAAAATGACTAAATTTAAATACCGTGTTAGTAAATTCCTTTTATATAGAAAACGTTCTACCAATTTGTATCGAAAATGATTACGTGGAGACATTGACAAAGGGAGAAATATTATCACGGCCGTCACAGAAAACGTGAGAAGTATTCGAATTGTAATAAAAGCTCACTCGGATGATAAGTATATCCACGAACATTTTAACGTTTCAAAACACTATTCACCTTTTCATAGTTAATCCTATTATGCATGTAAACATTGTCGAGGACGGGCGTCTGTATCGCCTCGTCAAGTGAACATCTCTAAACGCGGCTCTATTGTGCTCAGATACTTGCCCAGTTCCTATAGCGAGTTCTGCGGAAACGTTCAAAATGCACACCTTTATTCCGGGATTAGGCGAATTTTGCATAGGAACAGGTCGTCAAATGTCCCAAAGCTGAAGTGCGCATTGAAAACCGATGAATGGATAAGCGTACGCGGACGTCAACAATACGCCCGTAACGAAAAGGTATCACACGTGTTCCGAATGGGATTGAATGAGATTGAACGAGATCCGCACAATGTCCCTTGTGTCGCGAGATTATCTCTGGTCGGATAAATCGTACATGATCGGAATACTACTCATATTGGACGTCGAATGTGCAATGTACAATGTTTTCGTTTGTCCGTCTTTTTTTGCGGGCATACATGTTGACGCATTTAGGTTTGATTATGACATATCGATGAATGTGAAGCGACTGTGGGAAAGCAAAATAAAATTAAAGTATGCTTATTTTATTATGAGATTCTTATAACTTTCCGTTTTTCTGAAAGGATTGATAGAAGGTTTCTGGAGTTAACATTTCATTCCTAGACAAAAAAACCGTTAGTTATTATATAAAGAAGCTTGTACATGTTTGGTGTATGATTAATGAATGTTTAGGAATAATAGCTTAGGAATTAGTAATAAAATAAATACTATCTTTGCAGGGCTAAGAAATGAAAAAAAGAAATTCTTAAGGCAATAGCATTAATATTGACATACGGTGAATAGTTTTAATAATTATTGGATGCTTAAAAAGTAAAGTAGTTAAAAAGAACATTATTCCAATATCGTATAACAAACTTAGTAATGGTTGTATAACATTTTTTTTTATGTGAAAAGTTGCCAAGCGTGCAGACGGTTCACCTAATGTTAAGTGAATACCACCGCCCGTGGACATCTACTACACCCGTGGGTTCCAGATGCATTGACAACCTTTTGAAAATTGGGCTCCGGCCACCTCACTCACCAGACGAAACGCGAAAGTATTATACTTCTACCTTACGCCGATTTTCTGTGAGGTCGTAGTACGTACCCGGACGAGCCTGCCCATTCGTGCAACAGCCGAGCCCGCTGCGTGGCCGTGAAAGTAACCGAATATTAACGATTATTATGAGTACTATCAATTGCATGGCTTATTTTCATAGTTTAAATATAATTAAGCAATAATCTAAACTTTTATACATATCGAAGCAAATAATAGGATTATAAAATAATTTAAAATGAGCTGCGGAAAAATAATATTACATATATTAAACATGAAATAAGTAGTACGCTTACGTGTTAAGTAATGTTGTGATTTATTCATGTAATAGAAGTAGTGCACATACATGTGTGTAAAATAAATTTAATACTGCGCTGCACTGAAAGGATTTTCGGTAGAGAATCTTTTTGTAAAGAAGTGGATGTAAGATCGAAACACAATTCAATGTTCACGAGTGGCGCCTGCCTGTGAGCTACAAATAAAAAAGTTCATTTACTTTCAACTTACTTTTACTTTAGCTCAGAGATTATGTTTAATAATACATTAGTGAAAATTTTTAATCAGCTCGGAGGTTTTATTCAGAATCGTAGTATTTGAAACAACGGAATAACATACAGATTTTTACATATAGAGAAATGTGTTGCTATTTCTGATAAAGATAATGCAATGTTCCTTTTATGATTAATTTAGTTTTATTTAAGCGACGACAATTACCTAGCTAAATGGGACATACTCTAAGGCCATGGAGCGTAATTTGAAAAAGAACGAGATAATAGGGAAATCTTTTGGAGTAAGAAGTGATAGCTCCGTGTCCGGGCGTTCGCTATTAGATCATTGTACTCAAGCAAAACGAGTTCAAATCCCGGTGTTATTATACTATATTATATACTAAGGAACTTGTTAATTGCATGATTTAGTGCTAGTTAATCACTTTCTCGGCGCTGAAGGAACATGTCGCAAGAAAATCAGCATATATCTATGATAATTATGTGAAGTGTGACTAGTCAGTTGCATATAGCGGGCTATGTTCTAATGTTCTCTGTACAAAGGAGATATTTGTCTATTTGACGACCCGAAAGGCGTAGTCGGTAGTGTACCTGCCTTCTGCGCCAGAGGGTGTGGGTTCGATCCCCACTACTGGAAAAATATTGTGTGATGAGCACAGTGTTTTTCTAGTGCCTGGGTGTTTATATATTTATAATGTGTATTTATTTACAAAAGAAAAGTATGTTTAAGTATGTCTATCAGTTTTCTAGTACCCATAGTACAAACGTTGTTTAGTTTGGGACTAGAGAACGTTGTGTAAAAATGTGTCCTAAAATATTTATTATTTATGGGACATAGTATTAAGGTTGTTACTCTACTTTTCTTTACTATAGAGTGTTGCGAACATTCGAATCGATATGACGTCATTAACCCTCGCATATGAAATTAATATTGGCGTGTAGTACTTTCAGTTTTGCAACACAATGAAACGAACGAATGCGCCGTACAAAGAAACGTTACATTAGTTCCTTTGTACGCGGAACTCGATACGCGGCCGCTGCGCTGGGCGGCGTAGCGGGCGGGCGCTACAGCTGCGCACGCGCCGTTCGCTCCCAGGACCTCGCGCCCAAACGATCCGAGTTCCGGCGCAATTATAGCGAAATGCACTTAAAAAGCGTTAAAGGCAGTTGGCTCAGTGATATAAGATTTTTAGTAGTATTAGACTGTCAATGAATGAGTGTAATGCTCCTAAAATAGGTGGTAGTATTTTGACTATCAGTAAGTGAGTCTAATGCTACTATGTTGAATATGGATATTTGAATTTAATTTACGATCGCTTAAAACTGGTTGATATGCTTATCGTATGCTCTTTTTATTATGTTTTTGTATTATGATATATTGTTGTGTTCTATAGATATTGATAGTTTATTTATGGAAAGTAAACATTCACTTGATGTTAAGTGACTGCTGTCATCATTGCATCTAAACCACTTGTGAAATAATGATTTACAACTTTTGTAGATGATGTAGGATGTGTAGGATGCGTGACAAACTTTATAGACGGGCCCAGATTACCTCAGTCATATAGCGTTGGTTTTCTATGAGGTGATGGTACCTCTCCGGTCCAGCCTGCACATGCAACAACATAAGCTGCTGCGTGGCTCTTAAAACAGTAACATGACCAAAGGGAAAATAGAAAGCACTTGTGTACTATTTCATTTTTAAAAACCCGAGTGTTGACAGCCCAAGACATTAGAGTAAACTTAGTTTATAACGAGAACCTATGGTTCTCGTTATAAACTAAGTTTACTATAACCTTCGATTTCAGTCGATGGACGTACAAACAAGGCGTGAATAGATCCGCTCTATATTGATGAATTGTAACACTCGTTGGGAGTGCAATTGTACTAAAATACTGGCCATAAGCGAGAATAATGGAATAACACAGCGCCAGAGGGGTTCGCCGCGGGAGCGTCGCGGCGCATTCCGGATTATAATAATTACGTGCGCACGCGACGCGCCCATACCGTTCGCGTAATTACTGTCATTTGCGCGTGCTATGTTCCCAGCAAAATATTTCTTACACAAAAGCGACCTCTACGCCCTAAGGCGCCTTAGATCGTGAAAAGCGCCATCAGAAACAAAAACTAATAATAAATAAATACAACAATGAGCGTGGCACTTGAAGTCTGCTTAGGATAGGTCTGCACACTCACGGGAAGAAACGTATGATACTTTCACTTCACACCGGTCTTCGGTGAGGCCGTGGTACTTTCCCGGATGAGCCCACCCATTCGTGCGACAGCTAAGATTGCTGCTTAGCCCTGGCAGAGAATAGTCGTTACAAATCTCCGGGGAGACATGTCGATGGCCGTAACAAAAATGACGTCATAACAACCATACTGCTTACACAACAACTTATAGGATCAGCTGACACATTGACAGTTGCATTTAAAAAGGTTACGGGAGAGAAAAAAGAATTCGTTACATCCGAAGTCCGTAAGCATCTGTTAGCGTCACGTGATCATATTTCGCGTGATACCAATAGTGTAAAATGGAAGTGCATCCTGTTATACGAGCCGTATCCGCCCCCGCACGGATTGCGGGCGTAAAAAAACGCACCAATTTTTATAATAGCCTCGCTGGGGTCGCGATCACAATGTACTTTATTACAAACGGGAAACATTTATTACCACTGCGAGATGAAAACGTACGTGCGCGTTTGCCGGCGGTTGGGCGTCCGATAACAGCTGATCTCTAGCACTCTGCGTCTGGCATCTGTAAATTTTATGAAGGATCCGCGCTTTCGCGGTTTCGTATAGATTTAAATGAATTTACTCAAGTAATGTTATCATGGTATGTTGGTTTCTCATAAAAATTGATGATCGGAGTTCCATCAATGATCATTAGGTTTGAAGCTCTCTAAAAAGTGTATCTGTCCTGTATTAAAACATCAGATTAGGGAAAAGAATTACCTTCTGACAATGTTGTGACATATGCTAGTGCCTAAATGCGAAATCACAATATCTATAGAGGATTCATATCATTCTTTTTCATTCTTAAAATCGATACTCGCACTAGGAAATTACATAGATATCACAGATTTAAAGTAAACTCAGCCTATAATAGCTCAAAAAAATTTTCCTTCCTCGTTGAAAATTCTAATAGCAGTTGACCTAAACCACTGAGCTAATGTTCCAATAAAATATGTTATGAGTTGTTTAATCTTGCACCGATTTCTGTACTACTTTGTTATTTATGTAAACCTCATTCACAAAGTGTTATTCACTTAGCCGGACGAAATGCCAACGGCATTTTCTGACAAGCCTTAGGATATCGAAGAGCAGATGTTACTTTAGCACTGGCAACGACAATTTGCTACCGTTATACATATCATTTAACTCGTATCGACCCTTCCTGTAGATACCAATACGAGGTCTGGCCATTGGAATTTTTATTTTGTTTATTTTGTCCTGCAAACAGCTAGATAGGACCGTTACCAACGCATACATAACGCTGACATTGGTTATATTAGTTCCGCGTAGCAATATAGGTGCCGCCCTAGCCGCCCTCCGCGCCCGCCCCGAGTAAACACGCACGCGGCGCACAACGCACCACGCACCGAGCACCACGCGGCGGAGAGAGGGACGGCATGCGTGCGAGCGGGACGGCGTCCGCGGCCCGCGGTACCTCAGAACCCGCAATTAGTAGGCGAGATTCGTCCGCCGCATCGAATCGCTACGAGATAATTGCTCCGTCGGATTTTTACGGACGATATTGTCGCGTGTGAAACAGTGGCATGCAGTGAGGCGTACGCGGTTCGGAATCGGATGGGCCGCGATGAACTGCGCCTACTACCAGCACGGGGACACCCACCCGGCGCCCCATAACGCCAACAATACTTACTTCAACGAGGTAAATACGTTATAGTGCTCTAAAAATTTTCGAATCGCCGTCGATCCGTCGAAGAAGTTGGATACCTACAAATAATATTCTTTAATAATATTCGGATCAAAAGTTTATTCTGGATGTTAATTCTTTGAGAAAAAATAAAGTATCATGATGATTTTAAAAATGACAATATCGTGTTTTTTATGTAGAATATGTGATTTAATTATGGAAATAATTCATCCGAGTATTACATACTCTCCAAATTAATTGTTAAATTTAGTTACTACTGACATATTTTTAATGATGCGAATAAAGAGGCGTAAACTCATAAAAAAAGTGTTTTTTAAAGTGAGGCTAGCATCCAGTACATCAATTATTCACAACAATTACTTGCTTAAATTATAAAGTTATTATATTTAGATACAAAATATGAATATAATAGAAAATAAATTAAATTCAAAATAATCGCTGACAAGAGACAAATTCAATTTTATTGTATATAATTATAATAAAATATTTTGTGTTTATTTTCAAAAATTATTAACTAGATAATTAGCTAGTTATTATCAATTTATGTATTCAAATGTCATATATCAATTATTTAAAATATCAATAAAGGTCATAAGCGTAAAAGTGTAAGAAAAGGTCATGGGACCATTTTGTTTAAACAAATCCATTTTACGTACGCACGGTTAACACTTTTGTTCCATCATTTAAATGTGAAATAAGCGCATTATTTTAAAAATTACTATAAGTTTTTTACAAATTTGTCCTATAGAAATATACATATATCCGAATTAGAATAAATCTTTCTCACCTCCATACCAATGACACTTTAAAAAATTATTTGAGCGTTATCGCATCAGTTCATTCAATCTCTTGTGACAATTGTGTGTGGGCGAGAAGAAATGTGAGTGCGTCTCACAAATTTTAAGTGCTTTTCTATTAAACCGTTTAAACTCAATTCAAATAAATAACCATCCTCATAACAGATGTAACGGACGGAGCGAGTCATAAGAAGCAAGGCGGTATTAATTTTCATCATTATTTCCAAATTAGGGATCTCACGGCTAAAATAAACGGCACGGGTAGCCCTCTACGAAGCCTAACAAACGCACAAAAGGCACTCGGAAGAAATAAGCAAACAAAGCGCGCCTCGTAACCGACAATGGGAGAATGGGAATAAAAATATTTAATTGGTATGATTACGCGTGATTATGGCGCTCAAACACCTCCCGCGGTCTTAGTCACACCGCTCCCTGGGCACGACCTTTTCTTCTATTGTCCTCGTCCTTAACGGAGTATCGCCATTGTGATAGTCGTTTACGAGTTATCGATAATAGTGTTGATCGGGACTTTTGTGAATAACACTGATATCACAATACATTGAATTTGTAGAGAAGTACTTTACTCCGATAGTAATAGTAATACTGGTAATTATTAATGTTAAATATAAATTGGACATGAAGTATAATTGAAAATAAAAGACAAGACACAAGTATAGTAGTCAGTAGTTAAATTTTACTCTAATGTCAGAGTCAAGTGCTGTAGCCTTCTATTAAGACATTAGTTGAAATTATTGCCGAAATAAACAAATACCTGTGTATAATAATTACGAAACAAAATCTCAAAGGCTTAAAAGTTTAGTTACATATAAGGTACTCGACATAAACTCGACAGATTCTTTCTTAAATACGAGAATTCTAACTTTTAATCCTATATGACTTACGAGTTTATAACTAAACGGTAGATTGATATGCAATTAGCATTCTAATTTAAGAAAATACTGAACCCGGATGCCAATTTTGAGTAACTAAACTTTGTATTTCCTATTAATGTGAAATAACCTGTACATATCTCTGGTGGGCAAAGGCTTTCTCCGTAAGTAGGTTTAGATATGACCCACTATGTAAATTGCAGATTTGCTGACGCTTAATATTCCCATCACATTTTCTTCTTTGTAAAATGCAGTTGAAATTGCAATTAGCAATTAGTTCAGTAATTAGCATAGGTTTAGTATATATTCATACGACTGATTCAGTAACGGGTATTGGTCTGAGTTTATAATTGTGTAGCTTAAATATCTACATATTAAATTTACTAAAAATTGGGCTGTAAAATAAATGGATAATACATGCAAACATAAAACATTTTTGTTATATTATATTCTACCGTTACATTGACTTCTAAGCGTATCCAAATACATCAACTAACCTATCCCCAGCCCAAACATGCATTTGGTATACCAAATAATTTCTCTCCTAAATCGTGGAGTATAGATAATATCACAAGGTTCTAAGAGTAGGTACGCATGGGCAATATTGAATAATCTACCACTTACATGTTTCGAATCGTATATGTGAAACATATAAATAAAATAAAACGAAATAGACGTAAATTAAACGTAAAATTGAGCATGCAACCTTCAACCTTCACCTGCAATAGAAAATATAGGTACCCAATGCAGGCCGAATAACCTCATGTAGTTACTTAAGTTTGTTTTACCGATACAAATCGTAAACGGTAAGTAGTGGTAGTTATTGACCGAATGTATAATTATAATAATGCAGAATAAAAAATTTCTCCGTCCACGATAAGCCAGTCATCGTAATTAAACGCAATCCTTTAAAGTTGTTGGATAGCGACCAGACGAATGCGTTACCTAAAGGCCAATTACAACATTAGAACTGCTATTAAGTTTTTCATAGACTTATGTGCGTGTCATTCGAACATGCATATTTCAATCGTTGCATAATGTTTACGTAATTGATCATTGTATAGTTGGCCGTGACGTCTTACATTAATATATAATTAATCGTGGCAGCGATATCGTAATGGCTTAATATTGCCTAGTTTTATAAATCAACATTTTATACACAAATTCCTGTCATCGTAGTCGGTGACAAATTTCTATTTGTTTTCTCTTAGGCGTGTATTAAATCTATAGATGATAATTTCTTCTATTTATGCGATTACTTATAAAAAGAAGAAAATAAAAAAGAAACTATTTTTATCGCGTTTAGACAGTCATGGTCATGGGACGGTCTGTCCCGTGACCATAGACGCTGAAAAGGGTTCGACATGTGGCAAACTAAAATAAAAATAAACGCGATAAATTCCTGAAAATGATTTCATTTACAAAATACTACAACTGACGAAACGTTAGACTCACACGTTCAATAAAATAGTCTCCAAATTTCTATTTCCCATCGTAAAAGTTCCAAGTAAAAACAGAGACCTCTAAAACGCATGCATTATAATTCGGTGGACGTAGCCGTTGCAGGCTAGAGCGCAGGGTCTCCAGTCGCTATTACGGGTCCCGTAATTACAGGGCTCGGGCCGCGCGGCGCCGAAACCGGGCCGGCCGGGCCTGAACGAATCTCCCGCCATAATTAAAAACGCTCCAAATTAAATTCGCTCGTGTGTACACCGCGCCGGCTTATGATGTTAACTTTTTTGACCACTTTCTAATTGGTTTTCGTTTTTGCTATCAGTTAGGGAACGCGTAGGCGAAGTGTCTCGGTTCCCTCTTACAGACGGATTGAAATGTGAACTGACTGACAAACGCTGCATTGCATAGAAAAAACTGAATTTGTATGCTTAATTCCTTAATGCTGTCAAAACGTGTTCTTTTAATTTATTATTTTTGAACTTGCAATTAACATCTATGATTCTAATACCACATAATTACAATATTAACATATACATCTAATATATGGAAAAATATGTTAAAGAACTCGAGCTCCATATCGTGTGCTGTTTTCTAGAAATGCGTCGTTATTTCGAAATAGCTTAAATATTTAATCATTCGTATTAGTATTCTCATAATAGATAAAAATCACATGGAAAATCTTAATATTTTTCTTTTATAAACATAGATTATTAATTTTTTTACAAAGGAAACTATAAAAATCCTTTTGTTTTAGGTTAGTATCGACTCCGTATCCGCGGACCACAAGGACATGAAGATTTTAGTAAGTACTAAATGTCATGTTGTTTTATTTTAATACTTACTAATTTCGTACTGTTAAATTTCAAAAAACTGTACTGTTTAATTTCAATTACGCTTGTGTAACTTGTTTTTTGCTAATTTCAAAAATATGTTACAATGGCAGCTTTTGTGTTCTTACAAATTGTAACAAAAATTAATGTTATAAATTGCAAGGTTGAAATAAGAATTCTGTTAAAACCAAACTATACCTTAATTTATCAAACACACTGTGCTCAGAGACATTGTGAGTAGGTAATAAGTTATTTAGGGAACTTAGTGTTTATCACTACATAGAATAAGACAGATTCGTCCCGCTGTCTGTCTGTCCTTATATATCTTAAGATATATAAGGACGATGCGATTTTTAAAACAACGCAACGGATTTTAATGCGGTTTCCTTTAATAGATAGAGTGATTCAAGAGGAAGGTTTATATGTATAATTCATGCATAATATAGCATTGCACCTGTGCGAAGCCGGGGCGGGGTTGCTAGTTATATATAAACACAATAAATACTAAGTTCTCTTTATTTTCAAGTGAAATCTTATTAACTAGTCTTTAAGACTCTACTTAACATATAAACTTCAGCTAGCATAAAATAATTTGCCACTAACCCATAATCAACTTGTGATTAAATTATAACTTTAACGTTTGTAAAGGGATCGCATATTGATCAATCAATATTTTGTTATCGATATTAATCGATATGTAGTCGATAGATAATCTCAAGTCAGCTTATTGAATGGAACGAACGGTGATAGTTTACTCAAACGCACAATAATGAAACTAAACAATCCAACATTAGACTGAACGTCATAATACACGCGTAAAAATTCTGCGTTTCGCGGCTGAATGAGGCAATCTCGACGCAATCTTCGCCACTTCGCGATGGCCCGTCACGAAGTGAGCGAATTATGTCGGAACGAATGTCCAATGGCGGAATACGTAATTTATTTTGATCTGTCGCCGCATCGACGGGCGCTGTGAAATGGGCATTGTGGGGCCGAGGCAGTTGGGCAGAATAATGCATTCGATACGGTTTCGGCGCACGCTCATAGCCTCCACCCACGGACCACGCTCTTCGGGCAATCCACGATCCAACTACGGCATTTAGCGCGAATCTTATATTTATGTTTGAAAATAAGTTAATTTTAACGCTTATATCACGATCGATTGCGAAATAATGCGTCACAGTTCACATTTTATTCCTCTTCTCTGAGGAAAGATGAGTGGCTACGGGCCAGTTCACTCGATGTTAAGTGATAACATTTGCAACACCTGTAGGCTCTCAGATGCGTTGCTACCTCATAAAAACGTGGGTCCCGGCTACCTCACTCACCAGTCGGAACGTAGATATAAAACACTTCCATTCAATTTGGTCTTCTGTAAGGTCGTGGTACTCTCCCAGACGGACATGCCCATTCGTGCAACGGCGATGGATGTTGCGTGCCCCGACCATAGTAAAATCAATAATGTTTAGATATCAAAATAAAATTCATGATATTATTATTTTAGATATCAAGACCATTTAAGATCCGTCTGAATGTCCACCTGTCACCAGGCGTATCTCATGAACCGTGATAGATAAACAGTTGAAACTTTCACAGATGATGTATTTCTGTAGCCACTATAACAACAAATACTAAAAGTACAGTTAAAAAATGTTTAAGTGGGGCTCCCACACACCAGAAATGATTTTTTTTTTGCATTTTTTATAGATAGAGGTACGGAACCGTTCGTGCGCGAGTCTAACTAGCACTTGGCCGGTTTTATTTATTCTTCAATAAGATTTACAAAAAATTTTTTTTATCATAAATAGTAAACATTGTGATGTCAATGGGTGTACTTTTTCATAGAGTTTGAAGCATCAGCTTTTCTTTAAAACATAACAACAACAGTGTGTAATAAAGATTAAGGTGTAAGCTGAAAAGCAGTAATTTACCTATAGAGTTGTAAATTCTGAAAACTTTTCTGATCGGAGTTAAATTCCAAGATCCATGTTTGAAACTCAACTATGTCAATCTTCTATGTCTACCTTTCCCTGAACTCATTTAAGGTTACAGAGAGTTTTTATTTCAAAGTGGGCTGTGTAGTTCGAGCAGTTTAGTCTTTTATGTAACGTTAGATTATGTTTTAAGGATTATAGAAACTTATCATTGAGAACGCATAATCTCTTGTTTGCTAAGTCTGCACAATGCCTATTGAATTTTGTTGGTAAATGTTAAAGTGCGCGCAGCGCCTCGGGCTGGACTGAATTGTGGGTGGCCGAATGTAAATATTTATAGATATACCAAAAACTAACACTGAAATATCGATTCTGTTTCTACACAAATTTACATGAATTAATAACGTTAAATAACAATATTTTGACGTTCGCAGTATGTAGAGAAACATAGACCATGTTTTGACCATATATTTATAAATATGCCCGTTTCTTTTAATACTATATTATACTCAAATATAAAGTTTCATTATCACAATTTAACTATTTTTGAAGACACGTGTGGCTCACAATCTATATCTCGCGTTTTTTTTGTCTACATTAATTACTATTTTAGACGTTAATCTATCTCTAATCACAATATGTATATCAAATTTTCATCGCGCTTAAGAGATGAAAGCTACTAGTTTCCTTCAACATTTTCTTTCGACGTTTCCACACTAATACAGCGCGAATTCATGGCGGTCGCTACGAGAGCTTTCAAGTGGCGGTAGCAGGTAGGGACAGGTCGAGAGTATTGGCGGGGCTTTGAGGTGATCTTTGAGAGCCAAGAGGGCGGAACGGAAAGTGTACCGAGACATTTCCGAATTGCACACAGTCATGCAAACAGAACCTACTCTCGCGGAGACTCTCTGGATTAATGGAAATATTTAGTAAAACGAGCCATAGTTTAGACTCTCTTCTTCCCAATGAAAAGTGTTTTTTTTCGTTTTTGCCTATATTAAACACGATGTTTAAACTTTTTATAACCAATCGTAGTAATGGTGTTAACTTTTCTAATTGATCAATTTTGTATAACTAAATCTAGTTTTAATAGTACGTAACACATTTCGATTGTATCTAGCCAAATATGATTGAATGTTAATCATAGATCAGAATTTAAACTACTATTTGTTGTGATTTATTTGATTATTGTATCACGTATAATCGTGAATTAATCGCAATATCTCGTATGTAGTAACGGTTATTGGAATAACTTGGTTACCCTAAATAATTATTATTTTGTTTATATTATGTTTATTTAATGTTTTAAATAATACAGAGAATTTTTAATATAGTCCTAATAATAAATATATGTTCTTTCTGGCTCAATCCAGGAATCATCAGGAGTGAAAATATGGAATTGACTTCTTAAAATCATACGAATTGTATCACCTAATTTACAAGACATATTTCACGTTATTTACTTTAAAATATTAATTATCGATAAAATATCTACACACAAAAAAGTGATTGACCTGAGATGTGTGCCTTGTTAGCGTACTCACATCATCTACGGAATTATTTAAAAATTAAAAATACCTTTCATAGCTAAATAGACAATTATAACATCATGTTTTATGCAGTGCTAACGCAGTTACATGTAAACAGTGGTTTGGCACACCAGCAAACCGATTCAAGGTGATTTCGGGCTGACGTAACTTGCGATATGCCCCGGCGTCGCTCACATCCACCTATTTCCGGTAGTATGTGTCGTCGCCGGTCAAGCTGATCTAATTGCGACGTCCGCAGGCGACTTTACCTGTTATTGGTTAACTGCATTCAGTTGAGTGACAATTTAACGGTGTTATAATTAAACTCAACGCTATAAGTATGTTAAAATAGTTTCATTTAATGAAACGTATTATACTACTGTCGTATTGGGTAGTGAGAATTTTTTTTTTAATCTTTAGAAGATTCAAATTACAATTGATTGTGCAGTTTATTTGATATTTAGAATTTTGAAATTTAAACAAAACTTTAAATTTAAACTTTTTACAAAGAAAATTAATAAATGGTTACATAATATGATGTAAGGCATTTTAATAATCCTAGAGCAGGTGTAATGATTTTTTGAATTTATGCAAATAATACGAATTCTGAAATAATCTATAGTCCTATTGTTGAATAAAGACAATTTAATTTAGAAGGATTTCCTATGGCACTAACAAGTTTAAATTCATTGATTTGCGAAGTTTTAATGACAATAAGACGAAAACGAGTTATTAATAAAACTTCATATGACATTAATTTATTAAAAGTTCGGTAAGCGCTAATTGCTAAATCTGAAAGCGATCGTAAACTGTTGCTTCGGTAAGTTTGATTAATCAATCTTTAAGATATTCTGTAAACGCCAAGGGTTCCTCAAACATGTTTACGGAGGAAAGAAGAAACGTAAGAAGTGGCAAAACTTGACGTTGAAGTATTCATCGCACCCGAAGGACATCGAGTCACTCGAAATGACCCAACATTTCGAGTGCCAGAGACCTGTATCGATAGAAACGTTTTGTCAAAAACTCATTTATTGTTCAATATAAGTATCGTTTGATTAATAACACACGGCAACAACACCAAGAGCACTCAACTCGATTTGGAGCAGCCCCCGCTTCGTAATCTCGCGTCACAGCGTGAGATTCGCGCCAAAATTAAAACGTTTATTGCTTTAGGCCGCGTTTGCACGGCCGCGTATGGGTTATGGTTACTTCGTTATCCCGGACACGCCCAGCCCCGCACCCCTCCCCTCTCCCAGCGGCGTTTTACATCGAAAACTTGATGCCACCCCTGTGTAATGTCTAATGCGACTGTCATTTCCGTTCCCCTCTGAGGTTGCACCTTATCTCGGGCCGGTAAGGCGTATTTTCAAGCGCGTCGGAGCGCGACATGCGTGTCATAAAACTATTAGTCGTTTAAGCTATTCCCAAGGGACTTTCTCTAAGAAATGTTTAGTGGTTATCGGAAGCCGTGGGGTGCGAAAGGGCGTCGTGACCTTTTGTTTCTGCGCCTTTTATTCATTTACGGTGCTCTTATATAATTTTGCGATTCATTAGCCCTTTTTGAGAGTATCATTAGCTTTGACGCCTCGTCTGACTCCTCGATAGAGCTTGTTACGCGTTGTGGACTTCTGTGAGTTCGACAGCTGCAAGCTTCGCTACCTTAAAGCATTTGGCATCGTTGTTACTTAATTATAGGAATTACGATAATTACTTTTGCCTGTTAAGCCTACGAGGTACTAAAACCGAATATTACTATAATCTACTTGACTACTGCTTAAACATTAAAATTTGTGATGACTTTTATACTTCAAAGTATTTCGCCTGTTTGAACAATAAGAAGTAATATAAAATTAACACAATATCCTTAGTATGTTTATTTTTACCCATCCTAATAAAATTAATTTATTTGTTTCTGTTTTTGTATGTAATGGGTAATCTAGAAATTTCAAACTACAGAAACAGCTTACAACTACATTTAATGAAGAAAAGCTCCATTACTCTTTAGTAATTTGTTTATTTTATAATAGTTTTCAGTTCCATTAGGAGTCTTGATATTTTTAAATCAATGAGTACTTAAGAAAAGATTGGATAGATAATATGTTGCGGTTGCCATAGAGTCGTTTTCAAGGCTTCAATTGCGTCAATGTCTAATGTATTAAAGTAACTTTGATTTGTAAACCCGTGCAAAAACGGGACCTAGTATATGATTTAATTAATACAATAAATTGGTATGTTTGAGCCGTCATAGCTTAGTGTCCGGGCGCTCGCTTTAATTCATATTGAATCGAGAAACCTGAGTCCGAATCCCAGAGCCAGAACCGACGAAATTCAAAATTTATAATTGTTGATTTATTATGTGTTCAGCGGTGAAAGAAAACATGGCGAGGAGAACACATGCACATTTTCGAAATAACACAAACATTGTTTTCCCAAATTTATATGAAGTCTGTCAATCCGCAGTGGGTTCGCGTGGAAGACTATGCCCTAATTCCCTTTGTACACAGGAGGCCCTTGTCCAGGTTGGAACATGAATAGTCCGTTACTTTTCTTTTTTGGTATAATTTCTGGCTGTCATTAATAATGTGAGCCATAACAAATTGAGTTAGATATTTTATAAATTGTAAGTGAACCGCTAAAATATCTAAAGATCTTCTTTTGACAGAATAATCGATATTAATTAGTTTAGTGATTTGGTTACAGTTCTTTAAAAACACAATTGAGTTGACGAAACTAATGAAGAAATAACACTTCGCTATTACTACCTTCCCTGCGGAATATTTGTATGGTTAAATCGAATCACTTTACTGGCTCTATGTAGTTGGTACTTCCTGCGTCTCACTCTGGGTGGCTTAGTATTCAGTGTGAAATCGAGTATAACAGTTACATAAAATTTTGCAAGTAACAAGTTATTATCGTTATTTTATTAATTTCATAATATAATAGTTATTATCTAATGTTCATACCAAAATTTGATTTTGTCGGACGGCAAAAGTATTGTTATTATTATACGACAATAACGTTTCTTGTTAGGTAATGGAAAAAATATATAAATAAATAACGGGAAGACATTGACTAGGTATTCGATAATGCATAGCTTTCAGCACATTCGTTTTTAATAATCGAAGTTTATGTATAATATTACATTAAAAAAAAATTAGTATGAAAAAAAATATTTTAATCGAATACATGGTAAAGACGATATCAAGTTTTCCATCGTAGATATCAAGCAGTAATTTTTGCACGTAAAACTCCGAAACACTAAATAGATAGGTACTCTTTGGTTACTCTCATCTTCAATGTTACGCTTTAAGCCGACTTCCTACCCGTTATGTTAATTTTTAGAAAAAAAAATAACAGCATTTCAGTTAGATCTCATTCAGAAAATCGTTAACATTTCGACGTTTCGACTAGTAAACTGAGCGTATACAATACTTAGGTATAATTAAGTGATTTTAAGATGTATAATGAGATGGCGTTGAAAATAATGGAGTTGTAATTAATTTTAGTGCAGATAGTTCGCCGTGTTTGAATATAAATTATTCATTTTCAGCTATTTAAGTAATCATTTCGATCTCGACGTTTTTCTTTATGGAATTTAGCCGCATTAGCGGTAAATATGCGGTCTTAACTCGGTCGTTTAAATGTTGATTACTTATACGGCTTTTTTATAGTATCATCGTAGCCGTAGCCGACTCCAAATTTCCTACTTATTTTTGTTATAAATTAATCTGTTTGAGCTTTTAGAATAACGCACGTCACGTTATTTGAATAATTTAAACATAAAAGTATATTGCTACCCATTCAGACAAGGGTTTGAAACGGTTAGAAAAAGTGGAATTATTTATTATATGTGTAGACATGACCCATAAATAGAGATTTAAATAATCTTAAAAAGATTAGAGGTAAATAAATAGTGATACCTAACCTAAAAACTTTACACAGTATACTTACATAATTTAAAATTTATTGACATTATAAGTATATACATTGACTTCTTTATAATAGTAGTCGGTAAAAATTATGTATATTACATTAAGGCTAATTTTTTTTAAATATGTAAGTACTATAAACATCGACGCCTAAACGATATTATATTGTTTAATATAAAAAGAGCTGGAATCACATCGTCTGACAAAGCAGTGCTTACTAGCGTAAGCGAAAAACAAATCTAGTGACTCCAGTTCCATATTCAAATGGCCAGCCATAAAGCGGTATCCCAGCGCCCGCAACGGTATCTGTGCGCTGAGCGGTGACGAGCGCGCCGCAATTCTCAACGGGTAAAAGCTCATGCAAATCGGGGGAGCCGGAATAAAATGGAGTCGGGCGTCGCGGGCGCGTGCGATCGATACGCCCGCCCTGTGACCTTGCGGGCGGGGCGCGCTTGGGCGGTATCGGGGGGGAGTGCCCGCGCCGGGATTGGCGCGACGCCCACTCGGCCCACCGCTCCCCACGCCCGCCCACGCCGCGCGTCCGCGCCGCACTGACGCAGCGCGACGCGTGCCGCGCTGATCGGCGAGTGACGCGACACCGAGTTACCGACGCGGCCCGCGATGTGCTAGTGTTCCGTGCCCGCGATGATCACCGACATGTACGCGCCCTTCCCGGCGACCGCCGCCAAGCCCATCGTAAGTTCGTCTAGAATTGTACCTACATTAGGCAAAAGTTGTGCATTATCATCCTCTTCGTATAGTTGATCTTACATTAGGAACAGCTTGTACGTTTTAATAATTCTTCCCGTGCCGTTATCTGTAGGAAGTCTTTAGGAAAAGGCGCATTGTCCTTAGCGTGATTTGAATTTATGTGATCAACGTTGGTACTTTGAACTTGTGATCGGATTAAATCGGATGTAAATAACAGATCTTGAGTGTGTATAATCTGTAGTGTGCAATTATTTTTGTGCTTAAATTTGAATGTTTTAATACGATTAAATTATGAAATATGTGTCTTGAGGGGTTATAACGAAGTGCTTTATTTTATTATTTCTACTCACACCTGAACTCACTAATTCAGTACCTATATATTATTTAATTTAAAAAATATGTTTTTTTCTAAAATAAGCTGACTATGCTGACAATTCGCTAATTATAAAATGTCTTTTCTTCAAAATTAATTATTTGTAACATCTAAGGCGGTTAATGAACAATTAATTTTCGTTTCAACATCTACCAAAATGTTGTAATAAATTGGAATGAATATTAAATTTGTTTCATTAAATTGGATTTTTTGTTGTTATTTTGTTTGATGAAACCTTTTATGTTATTGTTCATTTTTATCAAAATTTAGTCCTTTTTAATGATGAAAGTAATGGAGAATAATTATGTTTCCTGTACAACCAAGTGTCAGTTTAGGCGGTTTTAAGCCTTTTTGTAAGTTTCAAAATCCGTCCGTTCCTTGTCCAAGCGTTTCTACGAACTACGAACTTCTAAGTTTATATTTTATTACTGATTTGAACTTATGTAGACAACAAATAATTATGAAAACACCAATCTTAAACAAAAACAAGGCTATAGCGTGCGAACCGAACCTCAAGTGCCCAGGCTCCATCTTTGGCTGCCGACGGCGACGCGCGAGTTGCGTGCCCGCGCTTACGACCTCACGGCCACAGATTGTAAATGCATAATGGAGCACAGATTATAAAGTCCTGTCATAAATAACGGTAGTGTGTACGCTTAACGTTAAATGTGATAATTTGTTGTACATTTAGAAACGACCCTGCCGTGTGAATTATATGGTTTATTTGTCATAACAATAATTTTGTCCTTTTGAACGTAGCATATATTTTATTATAAGGATTGTTTTTCACGTGAAACGACTTGATATCCCTCTAGTTTTTAGCGTTTACCAGCAGTTGTATAGAAAAAAAAACAATCAATATAGGATCATATCGATATAAGTCGACACCGGCAAACAGCAAGCAAACAGTTGGATTCAATTCCCGTAGCCCGGGACAAACGATTGTTTTCACCCCATCCGTCTTCCCTCGCCAAAATATTTGTCAGCGGGAACAAATTCAGGAAGAGTGAACGTTTCTCTGAGGCACCCGTCCGGTTTCGAATTGAATTTAGCTGTATTGAAATGGAGAACAATGAGGTATTGTTCTATTTCAACTTGCATTCGAGACCTAATCTTTTTCACTAACGCGGGCCTGTTCGATAATTTTATTTTCACCTATCGAACAATGGACAGATACATCTTATTACGGATCGTGATTGATATCGATCTTCCGTTTCAATAGCAACGAAACACCACTTCCTAATAATAAGTTTTGATCAGATTTCGAGTAATCTATATTTTACCCTAAAGCATTCGCTGTTTTGATGTTATGACCGATTTAGTTTTAAACTTATTTTTAATGTAGGTACTTATCTAATTTCAAACAATATTGACGTTGAAAATATATGTATAACTCAGGATTCCGATTACCGGGAAGAAATCAGACCGTTTAAACCCTCATTGGTTCAGGTTTTCACGTTGTACTAAAAGTTTTCAATTACAACCGCCTATGTTGCATGATGCACTTTAAAATTGCTATAATAATGAAAACGATAATGCTTAGCTTCGATAACGTAACTGTTTCAATGTGTCAGCATGTGGTCGGTGTATTATAGACACCAAATGCTAGTCAAGCTTCGTTTTGTACGTTAAACGTTATAAGACGCTGCTTGTTGGAATTACTGGAACTTGAGGTGAACTTGACAACCGAGGCGCTCTGGGCCAGACGCAGCGTCCGTCGCGTTCCGCGATACAACAACAACAAGATATTATCGAATCGCATAATGGCGGCAAATTGCGCGATTCTCCGCAATCGCCATCCGTCCGTCAATCTCTAGATGTGTCCGCACCTCGATACATCGCATCCATTATGCGTGTCTAATAGATTTTTTTCGGCGCTGGCCCATTCACAGCGGGCACAGCGTGGAGTCCCCTCAATGGGCATTGTGGCACTGAGCCGATCCGGCGCGCGGCGGCCGACAAACTTTTATTTGTAATGGCCCTAAATGGCTGTTATGGGGATTAAGGTGCCTGTTGCTTTGTCATCGTCCCAAGTGCCGTGGCAGATTCACGAATTCACCGCTATCATCCTTCGGTATATGTGCCGCGGAGCTATGGGTTGACACGGGGCCTACAATGCTCTTTTGAGATCTGTCAACGTCGATAGTGCAGTTTTTTTTATATCGAAATTCACAACGGGACTTAACGCGTTAAGTGCGGATTAAGGTCTCAGGGTAAGAGCCCATTTGCAAACGACTCTACTTGATGCTATTATAAATTTCGTTCAGTTCGAAAAACGAAAATTAAATTTAGACACTTTTAACTGTGGTAGGACCACGCAACAGCTTCAGCTGCTGCACGAATGGGCAGGTCCGTCCGGGTAAGTACTACGACCTCACAGAACACCGGCGTAAAGTGGAAGTATATTACTTTCGCGTTTCGTCTGGTGAGTCCTCACTCACCAGACGCTACCTCTAGCCGGAGCCCAATTTTCAAAAGGCTATCAACGCATCTGCAACCCTCGGGTCCAGCAGATGTCTATGGGCGGCGGTATTCACTTAACATCAGGTGAACCGCCTGCTCGCTTGGCAACTTGTCACATAAAAAAAAGACAGGATGGATTAACTTAAAATTATCTAATAGGTAGATATTTTTTGCCCCGTAAAATGAAAAACCTTTTTCATATTTCGTAAATAACCATGATCGTGAGAAAATCAGGTAATTAGGCATAATAGAGATAAATGATAGACACATATCATTTGTAAACTTTGATCGTATTGTGAAGTATGATGTTCTATTTTCTTCTCTGTTATTTAGCGAGTGTCGGACAAGAACAAAATAGTTAAACGCGGTTGAAAATAAAACGTAATAATTCCGTGAACGCTTCCAACGATGAGTGTGTGGAGCGAAAGCTTCACACTTCATTAAAAGTTATAATTAAAATATTTGTCACATGAGCCAATTAGGAAAAAAAGTCCGGCTCGCACCGGTAGCGACGGGTGCCGCCATAACTCTTTTTTATCGCCCGAACGCGTCGTGTTTAACCCGTTCATTGACAAAAGGTATTTAAATGAAGCTGTCGGGCCAAACAATATTTACTGCGTAAAAGTAACGACACACCCGTCAACCATTAAACGCCGTTCGCCTGAAACCCCGCGTATATTTAGAACGACCCGTGATCCATTTTCGGTCTGCCCTCACTAAGGACTTTCTACTGCATTATTGAATAAGACAAAAATTGATCCGTTCACCAAAGACCGAGGAAGAGACAATACATAAACAACTAATATGTTCCTAAATTCATAAAAATATTGGGGATATGTCTTTTATAGGACTTAATTATTCAAACAGCGGACTTTCAGTCAAAAGTTATTTTGTGTAGGAAATTAAAATATTTTGTAATTAGTTTAAGACAAGACATTCTAAAGGAGATTGGAGTCTGAAATTTTGAAGATTGTGAATTCGTATAAATAATTACAAACTCAGGTCAATCTACGGTCAATCTTAAGATCCTAATAACAAACACTAGATATTATTATCTTTAGTAATAATTCTCATAAATCCTAAGCAATAATAAGTAACAGTAAAAATAAAATTCTCTAGTCTTTTATTACGTGTAGAAAGTTCAAAGGAAGAAAATTATGATCTCTATGTCAGAACATTTATAACTACCACGTTCGAGTTTACTAGAGGTATGCAAAACATATCGGTGACAGATTGAAATGTACAATGTTAATAAAGATGTTGTGACAAATTCTATGCCCAATTTATTTGTACAGATTTTTATTTAATCGTCAAAATAATTAAACATCCCTCTAAAAACGGTATAAATATTTAAACCTAACGGAGTACCTTCAATGAGTCACGTGTTCATTAGGTATTTTCTGTCGTGTTATTTATGTGGACATCCATCAACGGAGTCTGCCAGAGGGACAAATTTAACAATGCCACTGACATGCAGCACGCGCGCTCCTTTTCGATACAGATAAAAAAGGAAAAAAATAAAACTGTCATTAATTATTTGCGAATCTGTCACGATGCGAGTTTTCAGTGATTTATCAGGCGTAATTGTTTTGTGTCGCGCTAATTTCGCGCCTCGATTGACGTTCGCTTGCATTCTAATGTTCTTTTGGTACGTGAACGCGTCCCGCTTAATTTATAATCTGTGGAAGCTTTGATTTTAATTATAGGCAGTATTATTTAGGAAGAAATAAAATTTTGAATTGTTCTTTATACTCAGTTCTGGTAAGGTTTTTTTATGTGATAAGGTGGCAAACGAGCTGGCAGTTAACCTGATGTTAAGAGATAACCGCCGCCCACTGTCATTTGCAACACCCGTAGGGTTGCAAAATGCGTTGCCACCTTTTAATAAAGTGGGCCCCGGTTACCTCACGCACAAGACGAAACTCGGAAATGTAACACTTCCACTTCACACCGGTTTTCTGCGAAGTCGTGGTGCTTTCGTGCAACTGTGAAGTCTATTGCGTGGTCCTACCACAGTAATTATTTTTTTGAGGCATGCATGTTGTCTTTTGAGTTATTAGAAGGGTAGTTTACAAATTACTATGCAGCGCTTGTCTGAGAAACGGTTGACATAGTTTATTAGACAGGTTTGGCGTTGTGTTACTTGTTGAATTGGACCATATATCGTAATTACTCACCCCATTCCCCATGTTTCTGTATTGAACCATCGCGGCTGCACAAAAACGGCCCGACCGCAAGCCAACTGCGGCGTTTCCTGCCGCAGCCGCAAATGACCTTTTAATATTACTCGTTAGCTATATTACGGCGTTAGTTTAGCGACGATTTTGGTGTTAAAAGTCGCTAAATATAATTTGGGGTTTATACAGAATACTGTTTTCTCACACTAATGTATATAAAACATATAAATAATAATAATATTACTTTTCCCTTAATATGTGATGTTCCAAAGTGCATATATTTTTACAACGCTGTCTAGTTTCCAAACTATATAATTGTACTACGGGTACTAAATAACTGAAATATATATTTAAATGTATTTTTCTTGTTATAAATAAATACATATTATCTACTTATATATAAATATTATAAACACCCTGAAACTAGAAATACATTATCGAACCCAAACCCGGTGGCGCAAGGGACTAGTAAATAAGAAAGTCGTTTTCAATTACATAGTCATGAAGAATTTATACAAAATACGAACAATGCTGCAAGGTGCTAATGATTCGTCCACTATCTTACTTTTGTCCCTTTGCTTTATTAGTTTTTTGTAAACATTGCTGCAATCAGCTTAATACTGGCTTGGGTGTTTAACTGATAAGAAGAAAGCACATAGTTTAATGTTAAAATTGTTAACAAAATTACCTACAGGTTGTAACAAGTCTCTTTTCGTATAAATGCGAGAAGTCGTTAAATTACTTACATGACTTCCAATGAATACATAAAGCTGACTGGGTAAAATGTTGCCTAGTGGGAGTGTGAAGTGGCATAAGTTCGCCATGAATTTAGAAGTATAGAATCTGCATTGCGCATTGATTAGAAGCCTTTTACCATACTATTACATTTATACTTATACCATATAGTAAGTTTGCATAACTGTTAATAGTTTAAAAGATTTTTTTATGTTTAGTAAAGTAAAAGTCAAGTAACAGCTTGTACAAGTCCCACTGCTGTAAAAGTTATCCACCACGCAACCCCAGTGTGAATTGACTGACTTCACATATCTTCCAAAAAAAAATTTTTTATTCGAATATCGATTCGAAATTACAGGTTTCCTCGCGATGTTTTCCTTTACAGCTGAGATTATTCAGCACTTAAAATTGACAATTTGTTTTTTGTTTTAGTTTTTTTATATCGGACACATTTTTGCACAACGTTCTCTAGTCTCAATAACATATTACACATATTTATATATACACCCAGACACTGGAAAAACACTATTTTCATCACACAATATCTTTCCAGTAGTGGGGATCGAACCCACGCCCTCTGCCGCAAGAGGCAGGTTCACAACCCACTGTACCAATCGGTTCGTCGGTTACGAGCGAATGCCATTACACTGCCATCGCGACTATTATGTATTTATTATTTGACATATTATTAATCCAGATATTATAATTATAATCCAAGAGTTAAAAGAAAATATAAAAAAATATTGTAATGGATTCGAAAATACGGCCAGAAGGACATAGTATATAAATATTTAATCTGTTTCGATCGTTTAAACATTAAAAACTTAAAACAAAGTTATAAATATCATATCGATGTGTATAATTTACACACGTTACAGGACGTAGTAAAAAATGTCCGTTGCATAGGTGGCCGGTAAGGACCGTCTGCCCATCATCCGTCAATTTCTCATCACGACACCAGGCCACTCGCGTAGTCAATCATTACCGCTCAGCGAATACTGCATTACGTCCCGGCTTATGCCACCAATGGGCTCTTTTTCATCGGCTATTTTTTAAACAGATCCAGATCAATTTCCTGCGCAGAATCACGCATTTCCTTTATAATTTTCTTATCGTTATCGCCAACCGCTTCCATTCGCCATTTTGTTACTATCATATCGCCGTTTTTCTTCGTTATTTAAAACAAACAAAACGCCGGAACATAGGATCGTCGCAATGTTTACTCATCTCCCGCACAGTCACCCAGTGACTATCGAAGTGTGCTCTCATGCCGGCCCCTTTGATTCGCCGCTCTATTAATGAAGGTGCGCGCTTCTTTGTAGACCTGAAAGAAACTAATACACCATTCGAAGCGCCACTCGAGATTCGAACGCATCGGTCCGATTTGTAAGTCATTAATGTCATCGGAATCTTGGCTGGCTTCTGGAATATATAGGGCGGAGGGAAGTGCGCTGGGTATTTGGAATTTTGTTACGTGACGTTACGGTTCACAATCGTTAACGGGTGGGCTTTTGCAAATCATTGCATTAGCCTGGCTTGTTAGTGCGGGGGAGGGGGGGCGGGTCTCGCTCGCGGCGCGTAATGAAGCCGAAAAGCAAGTCACGGGGCGCAGGCGCCGCACGTCAGCGCCGTCAACGCGCCCCGTCAATGTTCGATGGCCCGACAACTGAGAAGGTTATTCTCAACGATGCACCACTAATTAATGACTGCCGCTCGGTAAAAAGTTACCGAGGTGCGGCAACACCGCCATTGTTCTACTGTCAACGCGGGAACTCGCCTCGGTGTTGCTGAGCGGGCCCGCAACGGGAATATCTTGGAAGCAGCCACCACGGTAATTATGATGGCTTATAGCTTCGCGTTCGTTATTAGCGTCTTTCTGTTTAACATAAACACGGGAAATACCACACGACGTACCCATTTACAGCGTTGTGTGGGTCATTAGACAAAATTATATTTAGTTATACGTATTTCTATGATAATAATAATATTAAGAAAGGTTTTATTACTCCCATTCGAACATATCGAATTTGGTGTAACGTGATATATTATACCCAATTTATATTATTGAATTCGCTTAACTATTTAACTGCCCTGTATTTGGATAAACATTAAATTACAATAAATAATGAACATGCTTAATTTTATTCTTGTAAGTATATGCTTATTGAAAAATACAATAATGTACTATTAGGCTCGTATGGAAGATAGTTATTATTTCATTTTAAAGTTGGAATATTTTTTTATATGTACCGAGCACGCGGTTTATTACCACAGCCACACTGACGTTGATTACCACTAGCCTGGACACCCTAAGGCAGCTCATGCTGCTTCACTCACCGGATGAAATGCAAAAGTACGAACTTTTCTTTACGTCGTACTATATAAGGCAGCGGTAGTTCCGCGGACCAGACCGCATATGCTTGAAACAGTGAAAGTTGTTGGGTGGGTATCATACCACTATATCCACCCAACAACTTCTTTCTTTTTTCTTCGTTCTATGCCTGTTCTTTGGGCAACAACTAGTTGCCCAAAGAACTAGTTGTTGCCCAAAGAACAGGCTCATCCCCGGATGTACCTCAGCCTCACATATAACGCCCGTTAAGTAGAATGTACTTATGTAATATACTTTTTTTATTCGTTTGACGAGTGAGGTAGCCGGGGCTCACTGTTAAAGGGTTGGTACACACCTGCAACCCCTACGGTAGTGTAAATGTCTGTTGGCGGCGGTAATCACTTAACATAGAAAAAAAGAAAGTTTAATTGTTAATTGATTTACAAACAAAAACGTACACAATAATACAACTAAATTAATATCAGGTGAACCGCCTGCTCGCTTGCCAACTTTAACAAAAATATTGAAAATTGAAATGAAATAATTGATTCATTTTATTTGTCTGTATTGCTCAACAACTATACGGTTCGAAAGTAACGGCTTAAGTCACAAGAACCGAAAAATCACGTTTCATTATCTTTTAAATACCAACATCAATGGATAAATACAATTTCGATAAGTAAACTAGTTTTCTCTTTGTTCCAAAGCTGTTCAAGGTCTTGTACTTTGGCTCGTATAAAGTCTGTAATTCTAGAGAAAAACAAATCGTTAAACCAATGCAAAATTTTCCACTGTTATTTCAAAAGTTGCTAGCATATAAAACCTTTTATAAATGTACTTAAAGTCTTAAGTAAATAAAAAAAAAAATGTCGCGGACCACACCAATTTGTTACATTTAAGCCGCGTTCCGATCATTAGTCCGAAACGAGCACACTGATTCTGTTTAAAAGATTGTCGCGCAGTCATTGATTAATAATTTGGCACTTACAAGGTGCCTACAATGGGAGATAGGACTTCGCCCCCCGGCGCGTCGCCGCGGCGCTCCGCCACCCGCGGTGCCTCGTCACCGATACAACGGGACCTCGTGCCGCTTACCATATCCATGACAACGGAACCTTACTTCGTACTTGTATTGCTGTGAAGACCATTTGTGGGCGACAAATTTTAACACGTCACTAATATAATTTAAATTTGAAATGTAACTTTTTGATACTCTTTAATGAGGCAACATATTTTGGTTAGTATTTTTAACGATACAAAGTTTCACTTTTTTGTGTTATTTTTTGTTTATCTGTGTGTATCTATGATTTGTCGTGGTAGTATTTTGACTATCAATGAGTGAGTGTAATGCTCCTATGTTGAATAAAGATATTTTAATTTGAATTTGTTCAGTTCGTTTTGTGCTGATTTCGTAAGGGTCAAACAGCTGAACAGCTCTACAAGTCTATTCAAAGATAAAATAAATTTTGACTTTTGAAATCATCCTTTTTATAGAGGCCTGTTATTTAAATCATCTGTTTTTCGAATTTACGCATACATATTTATTAAGTATTGATATATTATATTAGTTCACGTATTGTTTCCGCCCTACAATTAGAATAGCACGCAATTTAAACCGATAGTCCGCAATAAAAATATTAGCCGAAAGTAGCATCCGTCCCCATACGACTATTAGCAGATCCGTCGGAAATTCCGCCTGTTAAATGCAACATCCGGCTTTTAACTATAAAATTTCCCTCTAGTAATTGTTGTCGAAACGAAGATTTTAATAACCCACCCCTTAATGCGTAAATGGAATCATTAAGTACAAAGAATTATACGTATTGGAACATATATGAGCCAAGTTAAATACATTTCACACAGCCATTACTTTAGAAACACATTAAAATTTTAATATTGGTATATAATTTATTTTATTTTTATTAATCGTTTACATAAATATAAACGCTGATTGCTATGAATATTCTTTTATTATGATATCTTTCAGTAATTTAAGTTTAACTGCAGTAGGGTTACGCAACAGTCTTCGCTGTTATGGGCAGGTACATCCAGGAAAATGCCACGAACTCAGAAGACCAGCGGGAAGTGGAAGTGTTATACTTCTCCGTTTTATGGTGAGTGAAATAACCGGAGCCTACTTTATCAAAAAATGACAACGTATCTGGAACCATACGGGAGTTGCAAATGTCCATGGGGGGTGGTTATCAATTGCCCATTTTCTATAAACTATCGCGAGGATCTTGAATACCAACATAGTTCATTTAAGTAATCGCGCTCAGAGATATTGTTATGTTATTTGTAGCCAATGCAACAAGGTTTTAATCGCTACCAGTGTTTCAATAGTAGACGCGGCAGTCTATTTATAAAACATTACTTTATTTTACAGTTTTTAAAGACATTTTTAAGGACTTTTTTAACGTATTTAAACAAATCTGTTGAAAATTCACACGTGCGCCTGGTCTAAAATAAATATTAATGGTCAAGTTACGACGGCGCCACGAATCTACTTTTGTCTCACGTAAAGCAAAAAATTTAATGTGTTAGCTAATAATTTTCTTAAAAAAATTAAATAACGTCGTCAGTATTATACAAAAAGAAAATAATATTTTTAATATGTTCATTGTTGAATCTAAGAAAATGAATCTGTGAACAACTTCCAAACTTACCTAGTTCCACACCGGAAATATCATTCCAAATATTTATTCCTCTCATCTAGCGAAGCGTTAACAGTGAAAATAAACCGCTACGCTTTTAAGTAAGGTACTTAACATTAGCGGAGGGTCGTGTGGCGCCATTAGCCCCTTTTGTGAGGGCCATATTTCACGTCCTCTAGCGCAGACTAACCTCCATGAATACTCCATCGCTCTACCCGCTGAGGGACTCGACGGCGCATGCCCTTGATTGCCTTTAATGTTACCCACCACATTGTTGATGTTCTTTGACGGAATTCTAAAATCCAGCCCGAAGTACGTACGACTTTTTTAAATTGTATATTGCCCTCAAATTTGTTTCCTATATATATTCCTAACGTTTTCGGTAAGTTTGTTAAATCAGAATATTAAAATATAAGTGACAATTAAATTTATCAGGTACAGACCTGTGTCAAATTGTTGAAAATAACCTATACGGAAATAACCAAATTTATTATACGACGTCAAAAGTAAAAATTTATTTTAATTTAGTCTTATTAAAAGCATTCATGAATATACTAAAAAACCGCCACTTTTTACTGTGATGCAGCAACCTCGGCTGTTGCACGAATGGGCAGGCTCGTCCGGGTAAGTACTAAGACCTCACAGAAGACCGGCGTAAAGTGGAAGTATAATACTTTTGCGTTTTGTCTAGATGAGTGAGGTGACCGGAGCCCATTTTCAAAAGGTTGTCAACGCATCTGGAACCCTTGGGTGCAGCAGATGTGCATGGGCGGCGGTATTCACTTAACATCAGGTGAACCATCTGCTCGCTTGGAAACTTTTCACATAAAACAACGGCCTATTCACTAAATAATCACAATAATAATAAGTGCAAAATAATAAATAAGTGCAGAGGAGCACCAGCAGGAAACTGTACGGTCCTTTTTATATAGCTATTTACATATTTTCCAACAGCTTTTCTTTAAACAATATTAGCAGAAAATCAGGAGTAGCCAGGATACGCATGTGCTCCTTAATTGATTCTTAAGAAAGTGAGCTCTGTGGGAACTTCCTTCGAAGAGGCTTACCTCTAAATCAACGACCGCTGTAGCGATAACGATGAAGTTGTCATACTTTCCATGAATATTCCCCAATATGAAAGTGCGGCGAAATTACGTTATCAAACTAAATAGTTGTCTAATTCGACAACCGTCTTTCAATGTGCATTTGCAAACTGTTATACCATTTGGGATGCATCGGTCGTGGTAAACGCGGTCACCATTCAATACGGACCCTTATTCAAGAGGTGTCTTGGCCAAAGCCACAAATCCACGTCGGACGTGTGAAAGCGTTTCCATATGAAAGCAAACAGTTCGGGATGCACGGAATTGAATATTGAATGGACGATTTCGGCAGTTCGGAGGAACGTTCTGAATATATTGATCAAATATTTACTCGGATCCAGGGGACTGTTTGGAGCGCCTTTACATGTGCTTGCAAGACCCAAAAGACAGTCATAGAGTGAAGGATTATAAATTACTATTTTATCCTTAGTAAATAATAATTTTATTTGACATATTTTATCGCATTTGATTATTGTTTTTAATTCCATGATTAAGACAAAACTGACTTGTTTTATACTAAATTTTATATTAAACCCGGGCTTCCGTAAACTTTTTGAGTACTCATACTAGGAATTATTATTATAATGATTAACATTCAATGTATCTCAAATAATTATGAACACACATTTTGAGTCCAAAGCTCTCCTGAGATTTTTCATAATATTTAAACGATATTCTACACTGAAATATATACCCATTTATTATTAACAAAAAACGATAAGCGAGAGCCGATACGGCGATCCACTGGTAATGCATACGACAGGGTTCCAGACGAGGTCGGCGAGGCGAGTGTTTGGCGGTCGCGTGGCATGGACCGCCCGCCCGCCGCGGCCGACGCTGCTATGCTAATTCAATTGTTACGAGAGCGGATAGCACCGAGATAGGATCGCCCGCATTATCATAATAACGCGCGACTCACCTCCGATCCGATGCACGACGACAGGGCCCATGAACCGTGTTCATAAACGCCGTCTCCCCTACGGTGTCGGAACCTACACACAGACGACGGGCTCTATGTACCATATTCTAAAACCGACTTAGAAATTAACCGACATGAAACGGTATCCCTCACATATAGCACAAACCCTCTATGGATTGTGCACTAAGGACGACGCACGACGCAGAAATACACATTCTTCCAACGGTGTCTACACATCCGTCTGGCTCAAACGGCGTCTGGTCCTGCATGTATACGACAGCCTTCATGAACCGAGTTCTACGAACGATGCACATAGTGAGCTTACTCCTACCGAAAAACCGGCAATGCAGTTGTGACACGTCCGATGTTTCAAGTCCATGAGCAGGGAGCTTTAACTACCACCTGATGATGCAACTGCTCGTTTGCCTCCTTTTTCATAAAAAAAGTCAATTTTTTACTAAAGAAAAACAAAACCGATTTCAAATATCTCGCTCTGTATTCATTTTATAATTGATTTTCAGCAATTACCTAAGTATCCCCGGAGCCCAAGATCCAATACCAATGAAATTAATATGGAACCACATGGGAAGCACCAGCTTTCAAATAAAAAAAAAAAGAATCATCAAAATCGGTTCACTCAGTCGAAAGTTCTAGGTTCTATACATAAAAAAAATACAGTAAATCGAGAACCTCCGTTTCTGAAATCGGTTGAAATAAAGTATGCGTGTAGTTGTGAGTAAGAAGTTATACTTCTTTAGCTAAAGACATTAAATACATTTGATAACGGTTTATTTAAATAACTTAGAATTATTGGTAAATGTCAAAAAGTTGTTATTGATTGTCAAAATTAAATTTGATCATGTCGCTTTTTGAGGGTCAGTGTGCGCGCGCATCGTTTTTCGGAAAAATTTTACTCTTATAATTTTTCCAAACGCGCCAAAAGAAGTATAACTTCAAAAATTTATTCCAACCTCCGCTTGATGGTTTGTTGTCCGATGATGGAATATCGGACTACAAAACCATCTGCAGGGCTCCTATCTTATGTTGACAATCTTTCATGATTACGAACGAAGAGGGCGCAGAAATCGGCCGGTTTGAAAAGGCAGATCCCAACAGCTTCTCAGAAGTGTTGAGATAGCGAAAGCGGCTCTAATGGCCCCGCGGCCCATAACCCCGCGCCGATGTCCGATGCAAATTGAATTATGGGGGCTTTTTGTCTCTGTTCAATTGTTTAATGCGCCGCCTTTTGTTCTTCCGCCGCGCGTAAGTACGTGACGATTGGAGCACTCGGCCTGGCGTAATCGTCGTCTCCTCGCTTCACTCCGCGTTCCACCTCCCCGGTCTCTTCGTGACTCAAAATTATAGTGGTTTATTTTATTGCTTACCTAATTGTTGCTATTGTTACGAATGCACGCGCTCAGGGTCCTC